GTCTCATACACATTGACAGAACATGTAATTACTGTTTGGCATAGGGTAACAAAAGGACCCACACACAGAACTGCCGCTTGGTTCATAAAGGTTAATTCGACCATTAATGAAAGACAATGAAGCTTCTGTGCAAGTTCAACACATTCCCGAGCATTTGGGTTAATAATTTCCTTGCCTGCTTTCTGGGAGCTAATCAGACTCTGACCCTGGTGATATAAACCTGAGTGCTCTTCTTTCATTTATCTCGACCTCACCCTGGTCACTCATAGATACTCATCCAAGTCTCCAACCTGCTTCAGCTCAACCATGTTGGGACTCTGCCACGTAGTTTCAGAGTTTAAGGTTAACCTCTATTAATAGTTTACAGAGGCTGATAGTTTATTAATCCAACACTCAACTTATAACAAAATTAATTCAACTCTTTCGGTGACCTTGTCACTTGTCCCTCTGCATCGTCAGTCTTCAGCTCTGTTTATCACCTATGTAAGCTTCTTTAGTGCAATGATATATTTATATCAATATACAGTGTCTTCTTCACTCACCGCTTTGTACTCTCTGTTTTGCATTTAATTATTAGTTATTATTCTCGGACTCTCTTCCACAGCGTGTCTTTTATCCCATCTTCGTTCATTCACCCCCAACCGATCATGGCAGATGCCTGCCTCTCTCTGAGCCTGCTTCTGCCAAGGGTTTCTTTCTGTTAACAGGGAGTTTTTCCTTCCTGCTATCACCAACTGCTTGCTCATAGCGGCTTGTTTGTTGGGATTTTCTCTGGGGTTTTTACCTTACAGTATAAAGCGCCTTAAGGCAACTGTTATTGTTGTTACTTGGCACTATGAAAAATAAATAAATGGAATAAAAATGAAATATGGATCAACTTCTATCTATTAATTTTTAACTGTAATTTAATTTCCTCATGAAAAATACATCAATTCAGTCCTAAGGAATTCCCATGGTTAAAATGCAGAAATTTGCAGGTAAAATAAACAAGTTTACAAATCGGCAGGAAAAAAAGCCAACTTTACTTTGTATAGTCAGTTTCCTCCACCACAGCTGGGAGATGCATTTCTCAACAACAACAGTGCGTAAGATCTTACCACTAGATGTCAACTGATTTCTGTTTTCTTACCCCTCTCAATTCATGTGCCTAATCCTAGCTATGGTGGCTGCTTTAGGACAAATAACTCTGGACATCGTTCACCTGTAGTGAGTGTAGGCTGTCAGTTTGCAATAACAATAACAGCGATATTCAGGTGAGTTGTTGAGGATATCAAAAACTTTTCTCCACCCTTAGACTCTGATAGCTGCTGCCTCTGCAAGCTGCAATGGCTCTTAAGTTGATGGACTTGGACACTTAGCGAATAAACACTCATATGATTGACTCATATGTACTCAAACTGTTTATTAGAGAGAGCCTAACATTGGCTGGCATAATGTTAGATTATAACCAGCTGTTGTTTAGCTGGCTAATCCAGAGATGAGAGGGCTGCATGTCTAATCTGCTGACAGTAAGTAATTGTGACAATATCGGGAATCAATTAGCATGTTTAGGTACTTTTTCATGTGGTAGAGGCCTGACTAGGAGGAGGAAGGAGTGAGGAATGAGGAGGAAGAGGATGACATTTTATTAAGATTCTGATCAATCGGTTTTTCCTGTGTTTTCAGTTCTATGTTGAAAGACGACCCCTTCTCAATTTGTTGGAAGACGTAATTACACCAAGTAATGTATATTTACTATATATGCACGTTCTCGTTTTGTAGAATGACACGTTTTACTTTATTCTTGTTTTCTCCCTCAGCAAGTGTGAACAGATATCGTTTTACATTTGTAGTTCCAAATACCATGGAAATGGCCCAAAAAACACTAAAGCTGATCCCAAACTAAATGGTGACATTGTGCTGGCTGTGTCCAGTAATAGTTTTCCTCACCTGCATGTTTCCCCTCAGATCGGTGGCTTCTCTCAGCAGAGGAGCAGCCATTTTGAAAACTTCATCCACTGCTCGAATTCCCAAGTCCCTCAGAGCTGTATAGTCCCTCCCCTTTCGGGCCTTGCGTACTGACAGACCCCTTTTGTGAGGTTTTCCTCCACCTCTGCGATTGGTAAGGGCCACGTGCACGAACAGCTTGGCGTGTGGGAGTTCCTCTCCTGTCAGAGACTGCAGGGGTACATGTCGGTAACCAGGCTGGAGGCACTCCAGGGGTATGGTATACTGACCTGTTGTGGTGGAGAAATCACATACGCATTGATTTACACATTGATTTCATGGTTGCTACACAGGACCTGTGGAGTTCACAAATAAGTATAAAACCTGTGCGTACTGACCTATGAATTCATCCCCAATAAAGTCATCATCCAGCACCACAAAGCGAACCATAGCAAGCTCAGGCAGGTTGATCTGGAACTCAAAGCTCTCATCGAAGATTGGGTTGTCTCCATTCTGGCTCACAGTCCTAGTGCGGCGCTCTGTGCAGTCGGCTGGGATGCCATGGATCTCCACATATACATATGGGTCCACGACGTCCCCTTTAGCCCCAGAACCTTTGGGCTTTGGCAGATTCTGGCCGCTAATGACCTGCAAGCGAAAGGTAGATCATTTCATTAACTGTTTCAGTCATTATAAACTTCTTGTTTATAATAAACTAGTTAAGCTAGATTATATGACTTTGCTTGGAAGTAAAAGTAGAAGCATGCACTGTCCAACTTAATCCAAAGGTTCAGATGTTTAAATAAGCTTTGCTAGACTGGTGGCTTTTTTAATGCAATGTATGCCATTCTGTCATGTTATGGAGTTATATTGTTACCCAAATGAATGAGGGCAAAACTTAAAAGGACAAAGTTCTAATAATAATACTTATTACTGCAATGTCAAACATTATAACAGAAATTTTAGAAAACTTAAACTGCAGTCTACACATTATTCCTGCACACCTTCACGTGGAGCAGCTGCGGAGACACACCAGGCACCGTGTCTCTGGTGTCAGCGCTGAAGTAAGACACCTCCTGCCGCATGATGGCCGGACGCAGAACGTAACCGCAGTTCCCATTCTGCCGGAACCAGGCTGTGTTTAGGTCCATCATCAGTCCTGCTGTCTGAAAATTCATTGACACTATCTGGCAACCGCACTTCCACAGGTCCTGGGGGTTCATGTTGCTCGAGTCAATACGCATAGGGTTGGGGTACACCCGTGACAAGAAGTGCTTGTTGTGGTTGACAAAGTCCCCGGGGTTCTCGCTAGCAAGACGCACTGCTAAAGACTCGTGAAAAGAGCAGACCTCCCAAGGTTTTTGGCTTTTGGACGAGGTTGGGAAGTCAATAAAGGTGACAGACTGGCAAAGATTTACTAAGTCCGAGAGCTCCTTCAACAGTTGGAAACGTTTGGGGGGAACGCTCGAAGGACTAGACGTGATAACGATTTTCTGCACAGTGTCCTTCTCACTTCCTCCAGGTGCTGCCCCTCCACTATTAACTGCCTTTATCTTCTGGCACATCTCTGCTCCTTCATCCTCCTCACTTACCTCTCCATCTTCCCCATCAGAACTCGGCACTAGCTTTTTACCCTTTAATAGTATTCGATGTCTTAGGGCATGCGGGGATGGGAGGTATGAAGCCTCTTCATCTGGAGGATCTGTGTACAGCCTCTCCCCTAAAATCCTCATGAGATGCTGCCACATCACTTTCTGCTGTCGAAGCGAACAGTGGTTTTCAACACACAGAATTAACGGGTACTCCGATGCTGCGAAGGCAAACCTTCCGATTGCTTCTAACACACAGTGCAGCAACAGCGGCGGGGAGAGGCTGTGGCCAGTACACACTAGCGGCTCCTCATCTGCACCATCCCAAACATCTAACTCCACGCACCGGCAGCCCATTTTGAGGGCACGAATGTAGCCGGAGATATCCGAGGGGCCTCGAAACTGGTCTTCGATGAGGTAGGTGTTGTGGGACGAGTTGATATAATAGTGAGACAAAGGCTGAGTCATGTCCTGGCATATGATGCTATGCTCTTGGTCAAAGAGGTGGCACTCCGCCGAAGTGAGGTAGCTGGTGAAGCCGTCCAACGACAGGTATCCCTGCTCCCGCCCCTTCTCCGATGGCTCATGAGCCTGGATGAGTTTCATGCTGGTTTCCTCACTCACCTACAGGGCAAGAAGAGTAAACAGACATTAGATAGACTAGGATTATATTTGTCCAAGTACTCCTGAATTTTCTGTGTGATTAAGCTAAGTTACCCACTTGAGCCATGCCCTGCTCAGCCTCAATGAACCTCATCAGGTCTTTGGTGTCCAGGAACTCTTTGTTACTGGAGAACTGCACCAGGAGGAAATAGATCTCAGGACGTGTGCAAAAGTCGTGGAAGACCTCAACGAACTCCTGCTTGGTGACCCGCTCATTTCTTGCCGTTAGCTTTTTGTTTTCGCTGTAGTCTTCAAGTCCAGATCCGTTATCTATCGTAAGCTCGCACATCCTCTCTCTGAGTCTTTGAAGCTCCTTAAACCTGTGCTCCACTTTGCCACTGTTCACCCCGGGGTTCACGCCTTGTATTAGCTTTATAGCTAATTCCAAATGAATCCCTTCTGTCATGTCTCTCCGTGTGTCCTGGTTAGCAGCAGAGGAGAACAACTGCTCCAGCCAGCCAAGACGAAGACTGTTCTGACTGCTAGCAAGCATGTCGAGGGTATGTTTCCCATACTGCATCAGATACCTAAAGACAGAAAAATGTAGAAGCACTTAAAAAAAGAAAAAAAGACTGAGCTATTGTAGGACACAATATTTTTGGTATGAATGATCAAATCTACAGCACAAACATTTCCATTTTAATTTATATTTCAGACATCTCGCACAGTGCTTGAAATATAAAATACAACTGCTGCAGCAGTAAAATCAATTTAAAATCCGCCCATGTTTGACGGCACAAGCTTCCATAAAAAGAAAACTCAAAAGGACTACATAATAAAGGCAACCGAGCAAAATCCCACCTTTCATCTCAGTACAATCAATACCAAAAAAGAACAAGATAAAAGAAAAGTGACAAGATATGAAAGTGAACTGGCATGAAAGAAAAACACTTTATATCTGCTTAACCTTCCCTGCAAGACAAAAATCTCAGTTCAATCACACATTAAACCCTTCGTCACTTCTTGTTCACCGTAACGTCAGTCAGACCACCAGAGGATTGTTGGGCTTTATTAATAAAAGCAGCCCGACTAAAACATGGATGGAACACGGTGGCCGTCAACATGCACATTGTTTGCAGAGATGGCCAATATTACAGGGATGAGCTGTCTATTACCAAACGTTTGGCTTACAATGAGTGTGAATTACAGGGCACATAGCTTTTGACGTATACTAGACTAGCTTTGCATGATTTAAAATCCAAAATAAGCCGTTTTTATCTTGTTAAACCTTCAATGTCTGAAACAAACTCACTTCTCATCTCTATATTGAGTGTAGGCATCTTTAATATGAACAAAGAATAAGGAGAAAAACATTTAAATTTCTGTTTGAACTAGTCCTTCAGACTAAACTGAGTAACTACAAAACAATAGGCTTAGGATGCTTTATGTAAATTTCACACACAGCTGGTTATTTATTTAGTCACATATTTGTGCTGTCATATGCTGCTTAAGAGGTGGAAAACACACAAGGATTAAAAGCTTAAGAATGAGTGTACAATGTAAAACTGCTCTTTCTTCTTTCTGTGTCTTACCTCAGGCCAATAACCCAAATGTTAGCCACCTCTGCAGAGTTGGCAACCAGGTCCAAGCTTTCATAAATGTCTCCATAGATGATGGAGAATGCACAGTCCTCTGAAATCTGGTCATAAACTCCACTGGTGCGGAAGGTCTCCGTGTTACGACCTGTCCGTACCTGGAGTTTGAGACACCCGAAGATGAGGGAAAGAAAAGAAGAAATGATGCCAGGTTTAATAAAATCAAATGAACTGTTATCCAGCGTATGGAAACCGTTACAAGCTTGTACAGCTAATTCAAGACTTAAGAAGGCATTCGTGAAACAAATCCATGGTGGGCTGATTTAGAACAGTCTTTCCCTTTTCTTGGACACCGACCTCACGTATAGAGGAGAGAGAGATCCGAGCTTTGTCTGACTCCTTCTTGGATGGCTCCCAGCATAGAGCCTGGAGGCCGGCATCAAGGAGATAGTATCGCTGATAAACACGGGAGTTGGGTCGGATTTTCTTCAGCTCGCTGCCCTCAACCTGGAAACCAGATATGGTTAATCACTCACTAACTTTCAGAGTAGAGCTCAGTCGACTTCAGCTATGTTGGAAAGTAAAACTTTGATCTACCCAAAACCCTTGATGCATGGATACTACCTTAGATATATTTCATGTACAGCTATGTAAAGCTTATATTTTATGTAAAGGCTCTCACGGTAGCTGACCCACCATCGAGTGGATGCAATCAGAAGCACTGCTGATCTTTTTCTCTGACAGACTGCTGCTGAAGGACACTGTCTTCTTCTTCTCCCGACCAGCACGTGATCCATCCTGAAAAGGAGGGGGAGAAGAAGGATGTGACCGATAAAGAGGAGGAGGAGGAGAAGGGGGTGTAATAATAATAATAAGAAAAATGACTCAGGCAGACAGCGATCCCTCTGAAGAGTACTCTTTGCTTAGTCATGACAACAGTTTTTCAGCGTTGAATGGATCACAAAGGATTAAAATACATATCAGCTTATATAACCAAACCTAAATGAGATTATTGGGTCTACCTCATAGAGCCACCTCCTCCCAATTTGTTATTGTTCTTCCTGATACCAGGCTAAAAGCCTTTGCTCGTTCTTGCCCTTCACCATTAATCACACCTGACTAGACGGAAGCAGCAGGCTCCAGCATTCTAATTCTGCCCCTCCACAATGACACAGGCCGACCCAATCGGTTTATCTGAGCACACCATCACAGCTCATCCATCTGATTTATTGACCAATCAGATGTCGCCCCCGCAAAGAGCCTCATGCTTGCAGATAAGAGCATATATGTGGGCAAATATATTCAATAATGGATATACTAGTCCTGATTAAATGAAATCAGAGCCTTAATTGACGCTCCAAAGAGGAGCAGGATAACTTAATTACAGCTGAATGGCCTGACTGAGAACACCCACAAACTCAACCTGCTGGTGACTCTCAGAAGCAAGGAGGCAAAATGTAATTGATGAGAAATAGAACATTGTAGGACTGCAATTACCCATTAATTTTTAATTAGAGATTATTGTGCCAGTGATTGTTTCTTAATTTATTTAATCAATATTTTATGCCCTCAAAGTGGACCTACTATCCTTTGCCTTATTTATGTCTTATACATATATTGTTATAATGATAAATGGACTGGAAGTTGTATAGATCTTTTCTACTGCAAGCCTCCTTCACCAGTTTATACGCACATTCACACAAGCACTTTTGTCTGTACCAGGGATGCAACGATACCAATTTTTAAAAACCGATACGATACTTGGATCTGAGTACTTGCCGATACAGAGTACAAAAACCGATACTTCTACCACACACACACAAATGCAATGAATTGGAAGACAGGTTTTATTGTATTCTCTGCCGATAAAAAATAAAATCTTAATAAAAATGACCACAAAAAAATTTCAAGTGAAAAATAAGCACTTCTTCAGAGTCTCCACATTGTAATTTAACAAAATATCACTGAACGATTGGCACTGTCTCGAGCTTTCAGAATAATAAATAAACACTTCTGTTTGGAATAAAATAAATAGAAATTAGGTTTGAGAATAAAATAAACTTTTAAATTATTGCAGAGTGTCCATATTGTAAACAAACAAACAAAATAATGAAAGTATTTGGCATTGACGACCTCCTCATCTGCCCGTGGATCATCAGTCCACTGTGCCGTTAAACCAAGGACTGACATCGCGCACACACTGCTTGTCTTTACCTCTTCAGAAAGTTTTGGCACCTTTATCTCCCTGATGTATGGGCGGTTGGGAATTTCATATCGGGGCTGGAGTATGCTGAGAAGATGGATGAGCAATCCTATGTTTTCCACAACGGGCATTGGCTGGTCATCCAGAGCGATAAAATGAGTCAGAGCCTCTGTTATTTTAACTGCCTGTGGATTTTCTCTTGACATTTTTCATCGCTTTTCCAAAACCTTAGTTAAAGTTGGCTGTTCCGGTCCACACTGCTGACATTTTGCTTAGCCTAGCTACAGCAGCCTCCAGTTTCTCTTTTTTTATCTGGCCAATCATAAAGGACATGTTAAAGGGAGGGGGTAAAATGGCTTGGTTTGGAAATTGGATGAACTGAGATGTACCTCCTCAGTTCATCCAGTTCATGTAGTAATGGTTACAAGGTTAGCTTTGCATGATTCACATTTCAAAGTGGAAACTGGAATTCTGCAAAAAGACCAAAACGAAATAAAGAAATCAAATCAAATCAGTTAATTCATGTCATTTTTAGCTGTTAACCAAGTAATTAACCAATTTAAGGTATGACGCTGAGGTGCACAAGAGCAATATCCCTGTCTGAAAGAGTGATACATTTGCGAGGGTTGTTTTGAAACAGTGAACAAATCAAAGCAGCACAGAGGAAGATCAAATCCAGCACCCTGTTGATCCATAGCTAACAAGCAAACAATCCTTAATTAATTCATTTATTTATTTATTTTTAAATACAAGCTTTTTAAATACAAGTCTACCAGATTGCTGCTTAGCAGCACAATGTTTTCGCATTCAGATCAAATATATGTGAATATTGATCGGCGGCTGATGAATCCCTACTCATCTGCACAACTCTGGTTTCATTCAAATAAGACTTCATATGAACCTCGAGAGCACTTGTGTCTTTTATGAGGGGAGAGAGAGGCAGCACTTGATATGAAGGAAACCCAGCGGACATGAAAGGCAAAAAGAGATAAGAGAGAGAGAGGGCAAAAGTGGGGAGGGAGCTGTGTTTCATCTGAGGAATATGAATGAACACGTGATAAAGGGGGGTGGGCATAATTAACAGAGGACGAAGACGCTCCCCTCAGACGGAAAGAAGGGCACATAACCATCCCAAATCCTCACAGAATCAATCGCCTCATTAGGACAGGAAAGTGTTTCCAATCACAATAACTCTTTTTTTTTTTGAGTCACTTTAATGAGGGAGTGCTCTAAAAATACCCCTGGTGCCTGCAGGGATGATACAGGGAGCGAGAGGGGGTGTGGAGGAGATGCCCTTCCAATATGAAAAATACAGAATGAGAAAAAAAAAAAAATTAAAAACTCTCTGATTTCGTTTTCTCGTTAAAAATCCCACACCCCTGTGCACCGCTGCAGCGACACCTCTAAATTTAACTCAGAAAGACTCAGATGCATCAGCAGGGGGGAAATCTGAAAATCAAATCAAGATTCTGACTTGTTAAAATAATTCATTTGGAAAAACTGGCAAAGTTCCCAGTGACCCAGAATGAGGCACGGCAAACAAAAATGGAGATGGATGCACTTTCGCACAGCAGTTTGGAGGACCACCCGATCATTCACGAATTTCTTTTCGCCGTCATGCACTGCCCTGACAGGCACAAGAGACTTATGATGGCCTCAATGTGCATCACTTCCTGTCTGTGGCATTACCAGTAAGGGTCTCTCTCTGTGGTTGGATCCGCACCCAATTGCAGTGCACATATTACCCATCATCATCATCATCTCTCTACTGACATTTGCACGTCACTTGACAACTAGCAAAACTCGAGATTACAACAAACTAAATCCTTGCCATGCTTTCCAAAAAGCTGTGATTGATCACCCCTGTTATCCTCTGACATAAATTACTGACAGAAAGAGACAAAGAGCTTAAACATCAAACCACCTAGCACTGACGTCAGGAGCTAAATAAATTATTTTGGCAAGATAAAACTGGAGGGCACATTTTAACCCCGCAAGTGGATAAACAACTGAATAAAAATGCAAATGCAAACACATCGATTTTTCTTACAAGAAAAAATAAATAAATAAATAAAAGAACATGCACGCTATTAAATCAGACTGGAACACCCAAGGACACGAAAAACAAACAAACAAACAAAAAAAAAACAAGTTCTGCCTACTTCTGTACTGTATGTCTCAGTCTGCTTTTTTTTCTCACACACAGAGATGAGCCTCTAAAACCACCAACTGCGCTTCAAAACAGGAAGCCTGTCAGCCCGTCACAGAGAGTTTCCTGTGGGCTCCACCAAGACTTGAGTAAAGTGACGATAGAGAGAGACAGAGCGGAAAAAAAAATAACGTGTGAAACCCTTCTACTTGATATGGTTATTTTTAGCTTTAACAATGTGACCAACAAGTCATGAACATGACTATGAAGAAACTGATCTCTCCTAATGTTGCAATACCAGCCATGCAGACTAACAGTCTTTGTTAATTGTTAAACTATTGACACGTTAACAGTCCTTTGCAGTTGTCCTTCCACGCTGCATGAAAAGTAGAAAAAGGGTAGGGTTGCTCACATGGGCAAGATGCATGAAGTGAATATCTATTGTACCATATGGGCTTTAAAAGCATTGAAAGTGTTGGAGTTTCCTCCTGAAACCAAAAACAACTCTGATTAAAAAAAAAATGTTTTTTTAAAAAGGAGTCACGAGAACCAAAACTGCAAATTCACTGACATTTAATACCAAAGCACGCAGTGAAAAGATGCTAAAAACCCTTCTTCGTGGTTTTTATTTTTTAGATGACGGTTAGTTGGATAAAAGTTGTCTGCTACTATCAACAAACACTACTGATATGAAAAGGTTGAATATATAATAATCTAAAAGAAAAGTAAGTTGTTTTTTTTTTTTTTTAAAAAATGAGGCTTTGTCTGCAAGTTTTTAATTGTTCAAACTACACAAAAGATTACTGCAGATAGATTTGGATTATCGTGAGACTATGAGATTACTGATGTCCCTGTTAGGATTTCGACACTGACTGAACAGATGGAGAAATCCGGTATGGATGGATGGACGGACGGATACAGGGATAGATAGATGGATGGATGGAGAGTGAGAGAAATGGGAGGGACTGGGTGGCAGAGCACACTAGAGGCAGTTTTTAGGGAAGGACACAGAAAGTACGAGAGATGTTACAGCAAATTCTAGCTAACAGAGGAAAGAGGAAGCAGATAAACCTCTGAAAAATAAGTGCAAAGAGAAATAGATAGATGTTCTCTAGCTTGATTGCTAAATATCTTCAGTGCACACGATCAGAGGATTTGCACTTGGTCTCCCGCAGGGTTCAGGACGCGGTGCAGCACGGTGTTTTCGTTAGTCAGAAGAAGAAGAAAAAAACCGAGTGCACTGTGTCATGTATGAGCTTGCGAGATGACATAGCTGGTACATCATACTAGCAGGATGAAGATGTAGGTCATCAAAGGAAGTTGTCTTTGATTTGTTAAATGAGACAGAAATAGAATGAAAGACGGCTGTTTAAGTGAGAGGAAAAGAATAGAGGAGTGAAAATTGGAAGGGGGTCCT